TGTGCACGTGTGCATGTGTGCATGAGTATGGGCATGCACCTGTGTTCTGAGGACCCAGGTTCACCTTAATCCCAACTATAGGGATGACTATTGAGACATTTCAGCACACCTGTGGACCCCCCCCCCAACACCTATCACAGCACCCAGCAAGGCTGATGCCGCGCTAATGTGCATTTTATAAACTCCAGACACAGATGCAGTTGAAGCTCTGGGACCCACTGTAGGTGGAACTCACATGCTCTCACCATCTTTACTCTTGGGCTCCTTCACTAGAAGTTGGCTCCTAGAAAGCATGGAGGATCTGGCTCTCAGTGATTTGTCTATTCCCAGTGGCTGACATTTAATAACTGCTTTGAAATGAATGGCTGATGAACCACTGATGGAGGAACACAAAATAAATAAATGAAAGTTAACCAAACTGTTAGAGTCACCATCGGGATGTGTTCTGGGGTCCATACATAGCTTGCCAAGACAGAAGCCCCAGCGTCATGCAAATTTGGTCAAAAATACTGTTCTGATTGCTCAGGACCTGAGAATTATAAACAAGATGTTAAGTCCCTAGGATGATGGAAGACTGGCTTCATCCACAGGGTGGGAAGGCATAGAGCGCCCACAGCACTGTTGATAATTACCTGAGACAGATGGGGCAAGAGGAGGGTGGCAGCCTTTGAGAGGCTGGGCTCCAGCCCCCTGAGCCCTCCACTACCCCCAAGCCAGAGTCCTCAGGCGCAGTGGATCAGGGCCACTGACAGATCCAGATAACCCCTCTAGTTTCAGTCTAGAGTTTTAACCTCTTCAGACCTCAGTTCCCGCATCTGTAAAACAGCCATAAAATCAACTTCCCAAGGTCATAGGGAGATGACAGATGAAAATGAGTCTTGCAAACGGTAGCATATTTCACAATTATTGACTATGTATTTGCATTGTAATGAAAAATAACCTCTTCTGTAGCCAATTTAGTGGAGTTTACTAGCAAATGGTAAAGGCGTTCCTCATGGGCTTTACACGGAGATGGACCATGGCTGGCACACAATATTTTTTGCTTGAGAGCTCATTTTCTTTTAACTGATTGCTGTTTCTCTTGACCCCACACTCTATCCTCCAGCCAACTCAGGCCCGGGATCTCAGGATCAGCATTTCTAGCCCCATGCCATGCATACACACATGTGGGTGCTGAGCCCTGGTGATGCATGTGCAGAGCCTGAAGCCATAGACACGGACACTGCTGGCAGGGGTCAGATTTGGCAATCCTGGGCTGTTTGGCCATCTGAACATGACATAGCATGTGAACAAAGGCCGTGTCAATTCCAGTTGTGAAGGTGTCATCAAAACAGCTGTGACCAAAGATGGTCTTTCCCCGATGTTAGATTTCAGGCACCACCACATGTTCAGACTCTGTCCAGGAGTTACAAAAGGATTACATAACAGGGGGTTTCCCCCTCCACGGCCCCGAGACCCACCCTTCTGTTTTGCTCTTCCTGAAAAGACAGATTAACATCTGGCCCAGATTAAGGGATTTTCCCATCTTCTCATACTAAACTAGCTGCCACCAGCTGCTGCATATATGAGGACCGCGTGTTCTTTGGGTGGGAGATTCATAGATAATTTAAAATTCAAACCAAGCGCTGTGCACTCTGTTCAAAATAGAACAGAAGGAGGAACTGGAAGCTTGGGGGAGCCCCTGGGTAGCATTTACAATGATTTAAACAAAATGCGGTGTGGTTCTCATGCGGAGAGAGTATTATCAGGAAGCAGAAGATCTGGGTTTGGGCTCTGGTTCAGTTAAGTGCCAACTTGATTGCTAAACTCTGTGCCTGGATTTCTTCTTCTCTTTTTTTTTCACTGAAGTATAGTTGCTATACAATATTGTGTTAGTTCCATAGTACACTCTGGTGTACACCATAGTGATTGGACACTTACATACATTGTGAAATGATCACCACAATAAGTCTGATAACCATCTGTCATCATACAAACTTATTGCTATATTATTGAGTATATTCCCTATGCTGTCTATTACCTTCCCATGACATTTATTTTAAACTTGAAGTTGATACCTTTTGATTCCTTTCACCTATTTCACCTATCCTCCCACTCCCGTCCTGGGTTTCTTCTTATGAAACGGAGACAGTTTCTGTAAGTGTCAGGAGTCGTGTTTTCTTTCCAGACCCCTCCTGGAATGCTTGTTCATGACTTAAGTGGAGCCCCCTAGGTTACTGACTCCCACCGTCTTACACCAAGAACAGATTCATCCACCCATTGCCACCCAACGATCCCACTTGATGGAGAGGAAACTGAGGCACAGAGAGATTGTCACATGCTCAAGGTCACACACCAGGTCTGGCCCCAAAGCACAGTAAACTCTACTGCCAACTTGGTTGATGTTTCCAAAGAGGTGATGAAATAGTTTGCCACCCCACCCTGCCCCTGTTCCCTCTCCACTTCCTCTGGCCCCCACATCCTGTGCCTCACACACCCAACTGAGCAGCCCATTGGGCTTCAAATCATTATCTGTGTGAGTGTCCACCGTCTGCAGTTCTCAGCCCCACATGAGGAAGAACCGGAGTGTGGGATGGGCTAAAGGCAACTGCATTTCACTTCTTCCCCACCGTGTGGAAAATCTGAAAGACAGGCCACATACACCTCATCTCTTCATGACCTCAGCTTTGAGTATGTTAAGAAGAATGATTTTTTTGCAAAGATTGTGGTAAAATACACAATTTTCTATTTTTTTTCTTTTTTTTTTTAAAAAAAAGGTTTGGAAATTGGAGTAGGCCCTGGAAAGGACAGAGGAAAGGATGGTAGAAAGACTTTGAGAGTTTCCATTCCACCCTATACAAATGAAGTTTTTTCATGTGGAACATTAGACAATTCTTTTTCTTTCAATAAAAAAATGCTTCATGGCTATGAATGGGTAAGATTGGAAGTACGGCCACTGGATAAGAGAGGCAAAAGGAGAATTTTCCCCACCGGCCTCCTCCCCCCACCCTGCCCTGGCCCCAGTTCCACCCCTTTTGTTCTGGGTGAACCTCTCTGTTTTCCAGAACAGCTCTGCAAGTCAGGCCCACAGATAACCACTGCATCTGACGCTCTTTCAGGGGGATCCTCAAGGTCAAAATTATTTTTATAATAATACTAACATGTTTACCTTTTTTACTGTGTTGATGTTTTACTGATGGTGCAAAAGCGAAGGTGGGTAAAATGGGGCCTCAGCCCCAACCTGTGCTAGGGGTCACTGCATTCTTCACCACTGTGTACTTGCAGGAAAAAAATACCAGTTTCATTTAAAAGTGTCCTTCGTGCTGCAGTAAAAATTAATCGTATTAAGTGAATACGTCTTTTTAATTTCTGGGTAATACGATGGAAAGTACCCATACAGAACTTCTGCACACTGGGGTAGACTGATTGTCCTGGAAAGCACTGCTGTGTGTTTGTTTGCGTTGCCGGCTAAACTAACCACTTTATTTATGAACATCATTTTTACTTGAAAGAACAACCGGCAAATTATGTTTATTCAGACTTGGGGATTCGGCAGGTATTTCCTCAAAAGCAAATGAAACATGTCTGTCATTTCAAAGAAAACAACTTAAGAGTAGTTGTTGCCAGTGATAAAATTTGAGCTTTCAAGTGACAATCTGAATTTTTGAAAATTTCTATCTGCCACTGTGGCCCTGATGCCTTACCAGTCAGTACTTTTCTGATGAAATGGGTGGTGATCACTAAAGTGATCATTCAATATTGCACGTTGAAATGTGTCACCACTTTGAAGCAATATTTTCCGAGTGACTAATACATGAGGTTACACAGTCACCATGGGTACAAGATCCATTCAAAGTGCAGGATAGACCAATGGAACTTATTATAACCATACGAAAGTTTATTGATAGGGTTTCATATTCCAACTGCAATTAACCTTTAAGAAACTACCATTTGTCAGTTTTGGTGTAGTATAAAACAATATCCACAATTATCTGAACAGCTATAAAGTAGTCTTCCCTGTTCCAAGCATGTATCTATGAGGCCAGGTAGTCTTCATAGACTCAATCAAAATACATCACAATGGACTAAGCGCAGAAGCAGGTGTAAGAACCTAGCTCTCGTCTGTTAAAGCAGAAATCAAAGAGATTTGAAAACACGTAAAGCAATGCCATTCTCACTTTTTTTGAACAGTTTATTTTTCATAAAAATGTTTGTTAAAATGTAATAGGTTATTGTAAAAACGAATCATATTTTAAAATTTATTTTCTGATCTGGTAAACATTGATGACCAGTGGTGTGCTGGGGAATGTTTACCAACCAGCTCCTTGAGAAGGATGGGGGAGGGGGAAGCATTCGTTTGTATTGTTTGCTGATTTCCGTGGTGTACAAACCCTCATCACGACCAAGTTCAAACTCCCAACAGGTCACTGTTGCAGAGTTGGGAATAGACACGCACCATCGGCTTGGTAGCCCTCGGTGAGCTGGCTCCAGCACACCACGGATATAATCCTTGTAAGGTTTTTTGCATTCTCACTCATTTTGAAGAGTAGAAAGGAGTCCTGAGAATGAGTTTGAGAACACGTGGCCCAGGACCACCACCCTCATCTCTGGTTAAGTCATCTCAGCAACGGCAGGAGTCCAGGAGGGTCATGGCCTCAATTAGAAAAGTCCTTGAACCCCAAATCCTAATGTTCTTAATGTAAATATCCAAACATCTCTTCTCAGTTATCTCTGCCAAACCCCTGGCCGAGAGGCCACCTGACTCTATTCTAATCCCTTCTTTCTTAAAAGAATTTTTCGCCTGAAGGAACCCTTTCTGGGGGTTCCGTCAGGAAGCGTTCACAGGTGGTTCCAGTTTGGTCATGATTTCCTAAGTGACTTTCGTGTAAAATCAGTTAAATGGAGATGTGACTCTCAGTGACTGAAAGCTACTGAGCGGACAATAGATCTGAGCTCAACATCCTCACCCCACCTCCTCCACGGTGGGTGGGAGGAAGAATGAGAACTCTTAGAAGGAGGAGTTTATATAAACAAAATACTTTATTATTTGAGAAAGAAGAGGCCCAATTACAAAATTTTTATACTTAAGTCCTGTTCATTACCACGCCAGAGGTTTATACTGGACTTCAGATTCCATAACTATTAGGTTGGACCACACAAAACTGCCAACTTCGTAGATAAAAAAGTCAAATATTGGCAATTTCATGTGGCTCGAGCCCATATAAAATGAGCCAATGGTTCATGACTTCTTTCAGCAACAAGATGTTCCCAGTCGCATGTCTGTTGATGTTATAAACAGATGTCCGAGAGATAAACAGGGCCTGCTTGAGAAAAACATCCTGTGCTGAGATACTGGAAATCGTCTCGTGTGGGTATTGAGACAAATTGTCTCAGTTCGGCTTTGCTCTCCCAGCTGGTCCTACCCCCAATCCCTTGATCTCACTCCACGGACGATTCTTCTGTACAGATGGCAGCCACCGGTCCGAGTGTCCTCTCACACTGCTAGTGAAGCGTGTCTGACTTTGACACCAACTTGACTTGATGGCGTATAAAGGCCAGGAATACACTGGGGCCAGCGTGCTCCTTCGAAACCACTACAAAAGTCTCGATCACAATCAAAACCTTTTCTTCAGAGGAGCTATTCCAATGCATTCTTTCTCATCTTGTTTACTCTCTATGCCTCTGGGCATTCTGCATCCAATAAAAAAACCAAAAAAACAAAAACTCTTTTGCTGTGGACGCTGAGGAGAGAGGAACAGCGTGGGCTCCAGACGGCCGAGGACTTCACAGGTGAACACGGAGGGGACGAAGCATGCTTCACTCGTGTCCAAGGCATTTAAGAAAGACTGCGCCTCCCCCCGAGCCTTCAGCGCTGCACCATATATTTCACTTTACACGCAGCTGAGATAAAAATAAAGCTTTCTTACAAATTACATTTTTTTCCAGTGAATTACTTTTGCAGTAAAAATAGCTGCTACATAAATCCCTCCTGGTCTCTGAAAAGGAGTCGCATATTTCCAAAAATAGTATTCTTATTTTCATCATACAGAATGATGTGGGGTGTGGAGGTGGGGCACAGGGAGGAAATGGCGGGTGCGGGAGGTAGGTTGTTGGGGAAACAGGGTCGAACTAAAAAATAAAATAAGTTTTTTGTATAAACTGATTTAAATGCATGCATAGAAATGGAAAACATATGCCATTTGTCAAGAAAAATACCGCTTTATAGCTTTTACATTACAATTAAAGGAGAAAGCACAGGGGCCAATGTGCCCCCAGATAATAACATTAAGTTTCTTATAAAAATTCCCAAATGTACAAAGTCTTTGCCAGATAATAACCCAGACAAAACAAAACAAAACAACAGAAACAGGGATTAACCCTCTCCGACATATTCCTGTAGGCATATTAAATGTAAATAATACACATTTTACAACTTCTCCTAGTCTGCCCTGGGCAGATTCAATGTTTGCAAAATGCCTTATGTGCTCTTGGAAAATGAAATAACCATTGGATGTCTGCATTCTTATTTCACATATAGTTATATAATTATTTTAAATTACAATATACAATTTCTGTTAAATAGGACTGTTAGAGGATTTTGATAACAATTATAAGATTACAATCATATATACAGATGACCTTCTGAAATGGCATGATTGTTTCCTCGCCCCCTCCTACCCTTCTGAAACAAAGAGACCCCTTCTGCACCTTCGGTTCCATGTTGCAAAAGGCAAAAGAAAATAAAACAGGTGCGTGTCCGCGACACGCTCAAACCCCGGAGAAGACCTAACAGCCTGAACGATCCTGTCTCAAGAGCCCGCCGGAGCCAGGACGGCTGCCCCGCGCTTCCTTCTCGGCCATTTTAATGTAATAGCATCATACACAGCGTTTTGCCATCAGCGGGCTCCAGAAGTGAGCAGCCACGCTGCTCGGGGTGAAGAGCCACAGTTTCAGATGAAATAAGGCCACTGCTTCTTGGGGACTTTCCTGGATGTGTTCAATCCCGCCTCTCAGGGTCCTGGGAGCCCAGTGGGTCAGGATGGCCCCACTCACACACAGCCTCACGTGGCCTCAGTCCTCCGTGTCCGGCTGGACGCCCAGGATGGCGTGCAGCTCCTCGGGTGTGAACCCCAGCAAGTTCTGGAGGTCGCACACGAAGCGGTACACGTATCGCTTCCCCGACGTCTTGTGGATGATGTTCTTGTCGTAGTAATAGCGTAAACCCCGGCTCAGCTTCTCGTAGTTCATCTTGGGCTTATTTTTCCTCTTTCCCCACCGGCGGGCCACCTGGGGTGGACACAAATGGAAAAAGAGTTGGATTCAATTTGGGAATGAAGAAAAAGTGAACGACATCCCCCCGATTACGAGTCTGATGCCTGAGCATCCAGAGAACCTGACAAACCACAGGATCGCAGAGGTACCAGCCGCTGTCATCCAGACGCCAGGGCCCTGTCTCCCTCGGATGCTTCTCTGAGGACCGAGGGAGGCACCGGTGGGAGGGCGAGGTGCCACACCCACAGCTCTGTCTGTGACAGGGCTCTCGAGGCCTCACTCAGCACAAACTCCTGGGGGCCAAGGGTTCGGAAGTGGGGGGTCCTGAGACACGGGAAACCATGTCTCCCCCAACCCCCTGGGTGCTTATTCGGACCCCTGCAGTCAAAAGCTGCCAACTGGGATTCTGAGCCACGTGACATCACACATTCCTCAATGTGTCTGCTTCCCAAGGGAACTGGGCAGGTGACAGCTTGCACTCTACGGGCACCAGAGATCAAGGGCCTCCCTGATGCTGTCCTGGAGGGCAGCTACTGGACCTACCCTTGGCCTTTCCCTCCAGCCGGGGCTGGTGCAGCTCTGCCAAGCTCAGCCCAGGAGCATGGAAGCCCAGCCTGAGGGCCGGCGTGGGGCTATCGAGGGTTCAATCCCCAGCGGTCAATTTCCTAAGGCATTTTCAGAGGCTCAGGAGAGAGCCTCAGTTTACCTCCTGTGCCTTTTCATTCCATGACAGAGAAGACGGTGAAGCCTGCCCAAGGCCCACGTGCACCCCCAGGGGGTACCAAATGATTCTCAGCCAAGCAAGGATGCCACCTCAAGTTTCCTGAAGTCAGGAACACCTCGTGTAGACGTGTTCTCATTGGCACTCGCGAGGCCTTTCTTGTGGAGGGAATTTGGGAACCCCAAGGGATGGACTCAGTGTCTAGAGCCCAGGGGCTGATTTCCCGGCCCTGGTCGTACCTCGTCGGGGTCAGCCAGCTTGAATTCCCATCCGTCCCCAGTCCAGCTGATGAACGACTGGCAGGACTTGTCGGAGAGCAATTCCAGGAGAAACTGCCACAGCTGGATAGGTCCACTGCCTGGGGAGAGGGGCGGGTTATACGTTTTTATAGATTTAAAAGACGGCAAGACTTTAGTTACCCTGAGGAAGCAAATGGATTGAGAGATGAGAGAGTCAACTCTGGACCGGATGCCGGCGAGAAGGTGCACCCCAGGTGCTGGGGACGGCGGGAAATGCTTTCATGCGATAAGGTTAGCCACCAAACACCGAGTCTCTCTCCACACCTCCGGCTCCCGGAAAAGAGGTCACTCGGCCCTTGACTGCTGGGTTTGGTCTTTCTGGAAAAAAATTCAGGGCCACCAACTCTTGGCATTAAAATTCCTCATCCTCTTTAGCTGCTCCTTCTGTAATAACTTTCAAGGTTCATTTCTAGAAACACCCCGTGGGACGGGGTGAAGGGGCATTTCACCACAGAACGAGGCGTATCATTCATGGAATCCCACAGGGTAACTTTCCTGCCAAATGGAGGTGGGTCAATTGCTTAATCCAAGCCCTGGTTTACTCAACAGCCACTTGGGCACCTGAGGTCACACCCACGGCCTTCCGAGGCCTCTGCTGGGGGAGGTATATGCTTTGCAAAGTGCTTTTCATATACCGTCTTCTGGATTAATATTTACAATCGCCACCTTGCGAAGTGTAGTGCTGTTTTAAAGATGAGGAATAGGATGTGGCTCAGAGGCCAGGTGCCTTGCCCCGGATCACAAGCCCATCAGAGCTGTTCCCCAAGACGCACAGCTCCCATCAACACAGGTCAGGAGTTCTGGAACCAGACAGAACCGAGCTACCTGTGTGACCACGGAGAGCTGTTTTCCTCGGAGCCAATTTCCCCATCTGTAAAATGGGTTCACTCCACCTCCCGTGCCAGGCTGTCCTAGAGACTAGCGGCCGGCACCATATGCCAGATGAACCACACAGAGCCGGCAGTCAACAAACGCTAACCAACATGGAAAGGAAAACCGCCAGCACCGTGGCTGTTCGTTTTCTTATGGGGCCCTGACTCCAGATATGAAAACAACGGCTTTCACATGCTCTGCGTACTTCAGTCCGTTTCCACGGCTGTTTGCCTCACAGGACAGAAATAAACGGATGCCCATGTACTCTTATTTTAACGTATCGGATTTTTTTTAAGTAGGTATTTTTTTAACCCCCAGTGGCTCCATATGGTCAAAATATGAAAAAAGCACACATTTCAGGAAATACGAAGCGATCGAAAGAATCCTGGTATTTTTGCTAAAGTACTGGAAGTATCAGGTTCTAAAAACAGCTTTAATATCTGTCCTCTGCTTAGAAGAGCTCTCACCCACACCGTAAAAACAAGATGGGTTTTAGAAGCGAGAAAAGGAACACAGTCCCATGTTAGGCGAGGCCGCCTCTGCTGCCCCTCCCGAGCCAGGTGACATTCTTTAAAATTCCTGGAGCAGGTGAGTCAGAGGCGAGGCCTCCACAGGCTGGTCCCCTGCTCCTCCTCATCTCCGGATGGCCAAGCACGTCCCAGGTGGCGAGGGGGCCGCGGGATTTTCACCCACGCCTCTGAGCTCTGGGTACACGAGAATTCCCGCAAGGCTGGCCTTTTTAGAATTCGGGGGTACGGCCTGCCTGGATTCAGGATTACACCCCACACATAAAATGTGGGGTGTTAAGTACAATGTGCTCCAACTAGAACCACCCTTGATCGCCACGGCGAGGCAGGGTGCAGGGGAGGTGGCGGGAGAGCCGGGGCCCCACACTCACCGGTGAAGCCGGCCAGCACGGCCGCAGGAATAACTGGTTTGCCTTGCTCCACCGGCTCACTCCTCTCTTGGATGTAATCCTTGAAAGACATGGTCGGCTTACTGAGGCAGAGGGACTGGCTGCAGTCGTCTTCGAAGCTCTCGAAGGAAGGCACTCGCTGCACATCCAGCAGCGATGACTGGCTGTTCCAGGACTGCAGCAACGAGTCGGAGCTCTCGAAGCTGTCTGCGCCGTTCTCGGGGGGGTCGCGGTCTCCGGGCTTCCCTGGCAAACACAACCAGGCACAGTTTGACTCCCCAGGACAATGAAACGTCTGGTGCCACAGCTAATAAATAAGTGCAGGTTGTCTTGGGCTCAGTGGTCAAGAGATTGCCAAGCACCCGCATTCAACAGATATCCCACTGGTGCAGAATCACTCTAACTTTTCATAATGCTCTTAAACTGAGGTGCTTGTTCCTTACGATAAATACACTATGCAACCACATCTTCCATCAACAGTGGAAGGGATAAATCAACGGTAGTTTCATAGAAGGGAGTACTACACAGCAGTGAAAAAGAACAAATGGCTGCCACACCCAACACCATGGATGGATCTCAGACACAATGATGAGCCAAAGACAAATGCAAAAGAAAACACAGGGTATGATGCCATTTACATCAACTTCAAGAACAGGAAAAACTAATCTATGATGATCAAAGTCAGGACAATGGTTTCCTCTTGAGGTGGGGACACCACTACTGGCAAGTGGTACGAGGGAGCCTTCCGAGGTGCTGGAAATTTCTCTATCTCCATCTGGGTGGCAGTGACACAGGTGTATATATGTAAAGATTCAACTGGTTGTACAACCTGAGATTTGCACACTGTATATATACCTCTCCACACACACACACACAAACTATCACACTCCTACGTTGTCTCCCCAAATATCCCATTGCATGGAGGAATCTAGTGCGAGAGCAGGGACTGTCTTGTTCACTAAGTACCCACTGTGCCCAGATCAGAGCCTGATACACATTAGGAGAACACTCGCTGAGCGAACTAATCGTCTGTGATGGTGACCTAAGTCACTTCTAAGTCACTTAGAACACAGAGGAGTCCTATGACCTCCTCCGATGGCTGAACACAGGCCGTACTGACTAAGCAGCTCATGTCACTGTCTGGCTGTGGCTCTGGGAATCAGACCACTGGCCTTGTTGAGAGGGGCACCAGGAAGCTCTGATCTTACCAGAACCGCTGGCGAGCAGGTTCAGGCTGCTGCCCGGGAAGTCCTGAGGGACGGAGCAGTAGTTGACGCTGATGGTGTCGAGCCGAGACTTGGGGAACATCGGAAAGTCCTGCTCAGAGCCGAGCGCACGGGGTGCTGACGACGAGGGACACATGCCGTCCAGGAGACCGCCTTTGGGGTAACTCTGCGTCTGCACGCCATACGGCGCCTGCTCCACGCCAAAACCTGGAACAGAACCATCGGACGGCAGGGCTATCAGCAACGGGCACGCGAGAGAGACCCTCTGCACCTCAAACCAGACGGCACGGGAGGAGCTCTGCACGCTGCAGCCCTCTGCAAACCCGCGGGGGCACGTGAGCTTCAATGAGCAAGCTCTCCACTAGGTCCTCTTCTTCTCAACCATTCGTCTTCCCAGCCAACGAATGAGCCTTGGGCCAAAATTCCTGCTGCTCTGGACCCAGGACGCCATACCTCAGGGTTAGTATTTCTATGGCTCTAGTTTATCAAGTTCTCCCTTGTGAGCCTCAGGATGACAGGGGCCATGGGCTCTTTCAGCTTCCAGGGAAACTACACCTCAGACAGACTAAGGGATTTGTCACCCAGCGTGTGACTTAGAAGGAGCATCTCCTGTCACCCCTCCCCATGCTGGCTCGGGGGACCACCTGCAACCTACGCTCACCAGTGTCAGTGACCAGAGGAAGGACCCGAATTCCATGACACCTTTCTCGATTCCAAAGTTCAGAGCAAATTAGGTATTGCTTTCTGCACACTTCCCGGGCCTGCCACCCCTTATCTGTTTTACTAGAACCGACCACAGCCACCAGCTCGCTTCTTTCTGCCCCTCGCTCTACGAATTGCCTAGACCAGCGCTAGCCAACGCAGATAACGTGAGCCACTGACACATGTTCAACTTTCTAGTAGCCACATTGTAAAAAGAAACGGGTAAGATTAATTTTAATATTTTACTTGACCTGATATACCAATTGTCATTTCAACATGTGATCAACATCTTAAAAATCATTAAGGAGCTATTTTATATTCTTTGTTTCATAGTAGGACTTTCAGATCTGGTGTGCACTATATTCTTATCACACCTCTCAATGTGGACCAGCCAAATTTCAAGTGCTAATAGCTCAAGAGCCACATGTGGCCACCACAGGGGACAGGGCAGGTCTAGACTGTGCCTTCGGACTGTCCATAAATCTAGCAGAAAGACTTAAAACCAAGCTCTTAAGGGCAGAATCACTTGGACTGACCTAAGGAGTTGTTATTAATCCAAGGAGGAACTGAGTTGAGGTGCGAATTTTCTTCATACTGATCTTCTGTCTTTTCTTGGTTTTCTGAAAAACAGATAGAGGGACCTAAGACTGCAAATCGAGGTTAAAACTACACAAAAAAAGAAGTTACTCTCTGAATTACGGTTACGTGGTTATTTTAGAATAACTAAATGCATTCGGTGCTTCACATTTAATCCTACAGTGTTCCAGGTCATTCTGTCTTTCTAAACTAGAGATAGAAGCACATTTTTCTAATAACTAGAATAAGTTTTCCAAAAAGGCTGCTGTTGTTGGCAAAGTTAAATTTTCTATTGCATGATTTGAAAGATCCAGATGATTTATTTAATTTATCCACGTAGCCAAGAAATGGTTAAATATTTATGAGTAACAACTGCACCGGGGCTGGGAATACAGCAGATTAGGAAAACAGACACAATTCCTGCCCCCAGGAGGCTTATGGCCCATTGGTCGAACCCTGAAAGCTTCTCCAGGGTGCAGCATGCGCCACACAGAGACGGCTACCAAGGCGTGGGAGTCTGTAACGGGGGACACGCGTGCCCAGGAATTTTGAAGGGGCAAAGGTTAGCGTTCTCTGCAAATGCCCGCTTCCTACAAACACACTCAACCACACATACACCCCCAAACCCAGACCCACTCAGACTGACACCCCGAGTCATGGCAAGACAGGCCCAACTTGCCAACAAACAGATTCACCAGAAATTTGTCAGATTAGACTTGTCCAGACTTGTTTATAGGAGTCTTTAAAAATAAATTTCCCTGGCCCTCAGAAGCCATAAGTAAAAAGAGCTGGTGGATAAATCCTAAGGGCTTTTTAAGATTCTGAGTCTGTAACAGGGTTGAAACTCAGTGTTTAAAATCAATTAAATGAGGAATATTTCCCTGAACTCTACAAAGGGGCTAATTTTCTTTTATTTTTAACTTAAAGGATCCTTCACTATATATTTTTTTTCTTTTTTAACTCGATGTATTTTTAACACTGATCTCAATACTTTTTTAACGTCTAAAATCAGGACTTTCTATATGATGAGAGTTCTTCTGCTCAATGGCTACTTTCTGGACAAAACGTCCGTGTGTAAATATATACATTGATTACGTCTGCATTTGTTTAAAAACCTAAAATCAGGAACATTCCTCTTTGTTGGATTCCATTTGGATTTGGGAAAATTTACTTAACAGTTCACAGAGTTTATCTGAAGGCTCCCTTTCCCCGAGGCCGACTTATTTCTTTCGGTTCTGGAAGGTGAGCCATAAAGCATAGGAATTCTTGGCCTCCGTATCTGAGCCAACACATACTGCTCTGACGAATGCTGTCTGGGGACAGTGAACGAGACCGTGACTAAGTCTACTGCCCTGTGGCTACGCTTGATGCCACACACACACACACACACATACACGTACTTCAGTGGACGCAAAAGCTGTAGTCACTGCCACATATCTGACTCACTCCAGGGGCGTTTTCAGACCACCCTGCCTCATGTGAAACGCCGACCCCACAGTCGTAGGGCACTGATGCTCACCCCCGCCTCCCCCATCACTGCTCCTAGCCAGGCTCACCCCGACCATCAGCTGGTACCTTTGATCATCTGCTCCAGATGCTCCCAGAGAATATCGCCCACAAAATCAGGTGCCAGCTCCAGAAAGCGCTCCTTGCCCAGGTTGCACAGCACCTGGCCATTCATGCCGAACCTCTGCAGATTGACGTTGACCAGACTGAATTCATTGGTAGCCCAGAGAAGCCACTGGCACACCTGTTGCTCAGTCCACAGCCAGGGGTCTACCGGGGAGGGAAGAAAGGACAGAACACAAAAGGAGAAAAAAATGGAAGTGAGACCAGAGCCACTCCTGATTCAACCACAGAGTCCAGGTGTGCACCGAAGACCAACGAAATGAGCGAGACACCCAGGAAGAGTCTAAGACACCGACAACAGAGCTGGATTAAGTGTTCAGTTGACTGGGCTGAACCAAAAACTGGCTCAGCTCTACCACATCCCTGCCACTCTTTGCAAGACGCCCTAGACAAAAGCTTAAAAACTAAGTCATCTGGAGCAACTGCAGTCAAATTCGTTTTTCTAGTAAAACGCAGAATCGGAAAAGCAGCTCTAAAAGGCAGCACTTACTTTTGGGGATGCCAAGGCGACGCTGCTCCTTTTTGAAGCCACTGAAGGTAGCTTTCAAGGCTTGACTCATTACAGCCTTGCTGCACGGGGTTAAGAGAGGCAATTCACAGTTGGTCGAGTCTAGAAAGAAAGCCCACGGGGATGTCAGGAAGTCAGGTTGGCTAGATCAGATAGAGAACTCAGGGGAGAAATCTTAGTTTCCAGGAGAGAACAATTTTGATCTCAAACCTTGACACATAATTCCTTAAAAGAGTATACGTATGAACCAAAAAATTTTTTTGAATGCTATGGAGAAAATATTATCCATCTCAGAACTACACTTATAAAAAAACACCTAAGGTAAAACTCAAGTTTTATTTTATTTTACAAAAGTTCCTAAAGCAGTTACGCGTAGGTAAAACTTCCATTGAAGTCGATTTTCAAATGTTTAGACAATAAAAGAAATTGCACGGTTTTTGGTCAAAAGGCTTAAGGGACTGCAAATGCATAATTTGGGAGTTACTTCCATTAAACTAAGCAGCTGATATGAGCAGAACGCACTTAGCACCTGTAACGTCTGCACACCTTCAATTTTTACTGAAAAACAATCTTCTCTGGATTCCCTCAGCAATTTCAAGAATGATAAATGACCGCCCCATGATGGCATGCTTACGCAAGCATGTGTGTTTTAATTAATTTTCTGGGCTGTATTTTCTAGCACCTACTTCATGTGACAAAGCAACCTCTGGAATGTTGCCAACTAATATGAGAGTAATTGCACAGGCATTATCTGACGTGCTATTCCCTTAAAAAGAACAAACAATGACATTAAGAACTGCAGGAGTAAATACAGGTGGCTAAAGATTAAGCAAGAATAATGTGTTGCTCCGAAACTCCAGCAGGAGAATGAGCTAACTAACAATGTGAACCCAGAATGAAAAGTTAGGGTGCATCGTCATGGCCACTGGTCCGCTTGGCAGAGTGGCCCTGGGTGATGAAGCCTGGGTTTGCTGCCCAGCTGAAAACCCCCGAATGGAGATCTCAGGAGTGGCTCTGCAGCCTGCTAACAGCTGGCCTTTGCTCTCACTGGGGCACATCTGGCGGGGGGAGCACCAGAACCATCATGCTCATAATCAAGGACAACTGTCTTCTCTCAGGCACAGAGCCTCCATCTGACTTTTCCTACCTAAAGATTCAAGATACCAATGTTCATGGCTTCTGATCCGTCCTCTCTTTCTATGAACTGAACTCCCTGGGGGAATCGTGCCCCACTTGTCAAGTCTGAGTAACAAATTACCATGAGAAATGGAATCCAAGCCTGTTGGCACTTCTTGCAGCGTTTGCTCTTCGCTTAGGGAGGGGAAAACAGCAAACAGGGACCCATCGAAGGTGTCGAAGGCTGGCTGGCGCTGCAAGAACAGATGGAAAAGAAAACTGAGAGGTAATCCTGAAACTTATTTAGTTACCTATTTTATTTTATTTTTTTAAAAGATTTTATTTTTCCTTTTTCTCCCAAAGCCCCCTGGTACATAGTTGTGTGTTTTTAGTTGTGGGTCCTTCTAGTTGCGGCATGTGGGATGCCACCTCAGCATGGCTTGATGAGCGGTGCCACGTCCAGGCCCAGGATTCGAACTGGCAAAACGCTGGGCCTCTGAAGCGCAGCGCGAGATCTTAACCAGTCCGCCATGGGGCCGGCCCCCGATAATTACCTATTTTAAAAGTGGTCCACGGGTCATCTTATTAATACGCCCTGGCTAAACTGGCAGTTATAAAGCCACATGTGGGATCGACCAGTCAGTCCTCCGAACAGACTTAAGATGGTCAAAGGGACCAAAAGGTGTATTTTACTCTTTTACTCCAGATTCTATTTTCCTCTGGATCATTTCATCAACCTCACACAGTGAGAATGGTCTATTTTACTCTTTTACTCCAGATTCTATTTTCCTCTGGATCATTTCATCAACCTCACACGGTGAGAATGGCTGGGAAGTCATTTTTAACGGCTTAATCAATTTAAAGCAATAAATTAAATAAACAGACCTAAAAATAATAGAATCTTAGAAGAACAGCGCTGGGAGGGACCTCCGAGACGACCTGGTCCCCACACCTGGCCTTGTGCTACATCGGAGAGAAATCCAGTCAGGCCACATGTAAAAGAAAAATGACCCTTGGCAAGACAGTTTTAGCTCACAGCAGTTAAAACGAAAGGCAAGTGGCTGAACAAAAATTGAAAACGAAACAATGAAATAAATTACTTTATCTGCAGGAGCCTTTATTTTTAAATGTTTAGTATAAAACACTTTAATTGAAACTAGATTTTTTTTCCCCTCAATTCCCGTGGTTCAGAAAGTAGTAATAAATATGCGAAACTTCTTTAAGGTTTAATTTTATAAAAGTAAAGCGTATTAAAAAGAACCTCCCCCCATCATCTATTAAGAGGCAAGATTTCCAAAGGAAGTAGGTTTAAAATTAAACTACCTACGGCTGAGAGGGAAAAAAGAGGATAGAGACACAGAAACACAAACCTCGCACTGTGCCGATCTCTGATAATCTCATCTAACATTTATGAATGAAAGAGCCTTTAAAGTAAGCCTTCTTTATAAGTAACAGATAAAGTCTTGATTCATCATTGCCTAACTTGTTGAGGGAAAAACGTGAAGAAAGGTTATATTTTTCCAACATAAGCTGGAAATCCCATGGTATGTGTAATACAATGATCCTTCTGTTGAGTCATCAATAAAAAAAATGTGTAACACATTTACAAATAAAATTGGTTTGTGTGCCTTCTTTTTAGAAATGTAGAACAATGAGTGACGCATTACATAAGAGGCCAGGGAGAAGTTGGAGCTCAGCCCAAAACACTCCAGACAATGATGTCCCAATGTCGTTGGCGCCCAGCCCCCCAAAATCCAAGGCAATGATGTCCCAAGACAATGAGTCCCAAGACCTACGAGGGGAAACCCAAGCAAGTGCGAAATACTCATCCAGATTTATAAACTACTTTACAGCAGGGTTAATTCGGGTGAAATCTTCAGTCAATTTTTAGATTCCCACCAGCACAGCCCAGGTGACTAAGGAATGTCTTTCCTTTCCTGACTGTTCTAAATTCTTTTTTTAAAACCAGGAAGCCAAAAGACAATACAAATTCGTGCTGCGTATTTCAACACACCAATTTCAGCCACGACCGTTTCTTGTCTAAATCCAGAAATCGCACGGGCATCATCAAACTTTCAAATTATACAATTTTTCTTTCTAGGAGTTGGTTTCAAACTTAATCTCACAATTTCTCATACAGCGTCTGCCACACTAGAAACTGACCAAATTGAACAAGCAAACTCAGTAGCCTGAAGTCTGATGAACTCCCTAAGACTCAAGAAAGGCCCCTGCCGATTTTTGCCTCTTTGGGCTGTATCAGACAAATAATCCCCTAATGATAGACGAGCGACAATGTACCACGCCAGAGAGACATTACGATACAAAACAGTAGGCTCAGAGGAGGCCGAGCTAAAATCACTGCTTCTGACATGTTTACTACACAATGCTACAAAACAATGAGCTCTCGCTCTCACATTTGGAGAAGGCAAATGGGAAATTATCAGCTTGTGCTGCTGAAGAATGTTCCCCAAAGGAATTAAGATAGAAGCGACACGAATTTTGTTTATTATGCAGCAGAGAAGGCTCTTTCATCTTTAATGTGGCTTTTGGTTTACACAAACAGGCTGTCTCCAACCCAGTGGGCATTGCCCCTTGTGATGGAAGGAGCAGCAGCCGCGGGGCCTGCTGTTGCTCCTGGGCTCTTTTCCTTCAGTTCTTAATCAGCCTTCCCCTCATGGACGGAAACTCCTGGGTGGGTAGAAAGGCAGCCTCTCCAGCTCTGATCTATTGAGAATCATAAGATTTTTCCCTGGGAGGAGTCTCAGAAGTAAACTACAAAGTCCTCACCATCTACAAATTCCATGGTTTCAAGTCTTGGAGGACAAGTAGAACAAGCATCAGGATACCCATTTTACAGACTAGAAAACTGAGGCCCAGAGAGCTGAAGGAAACAATCCAGTCACACAGCCAGTAAAATAAAAAGCTAAGGCTAGAACAAGTCTACGTATAGTTTCTCTCACAGACATTGAGTTTTCCAATCCTCTGTTTAAAATTTTTAATTAAGACTTATTCACGTACCTTGAGCGTCCCTCTGTAAATGTTAGACACGGGGGCCACCTGGTCCATGTTCTTGATTCCAAAATCATTCATCTTCAAAAAAAAAAAAAAAAGCAAAAGGAAAAGAAATAAAGGAAGAGTCAGAGAGGCCATAAATCCAGTGCATTTTGAGGACGTCTTCATTGGCTGCATCCACACTGCAGTCTGGCTGGGTCTGTCAAGTTCCACAGCAGGAATCCTTATTGAAAAGGCCCCTCTCACACAGGGTATGCTATTTAAGTAGTTAAAGAATAATGCTGATTCCCCCACGGAATTCCATTTAGATATGAGGCACACAGATACAGTTCCTTTCCAGCTGGCTGCTCAGAGCCTCCCAAGGGAGCCTGGCCGGGTGGGCTGAGCAAGGGGGCCAGTGTCCTTCCGTGACAGGAGTGGGAGGAGGCGCTTTTCAGTGCCATTTCCACGGTCAGCTTGGAGGCGGGTCTGGGGGTGGGTACCAGGCAGGCTGTGGGCCACCTCCTGTCTGCCCCAGGAGCAGTCAGCACAACCTGGGAACCTAAATGGGGCTGCAGAGGTGACCCGCCCCACCCCTGGCAGCTCCCGGGGACCCAGACCCAGGAGAGCACGTTGGCAGGAGGCACGGAGGCCCCCTCGCCTCTCCAAGCTGTGAGGAAGCAACACGCCCAGGAAGGAGATACAAGAGGGAAGCAGTGCTTCAGATCAAACCCTCTCGCTTCGTCCCAGATCCTCTTGTGCTGAGTACACATGTTCAAAATACATCTGCTTTGTGTGTTGCTCAGCTGTGCATTTCTCCAAGAGGAAGTAATCCCCATCACGGATCTGCCGTGCTTGCTTTGATAGTCTGCGCTTATATATCGGACCTGTGCTGACCAACGTGGTGGCCACCAGACAGGAGTGGCTACTGAGCGCCTGGCACGGCTGGGGCACTGAGTTGTGCTCTGTATATAAAATACACACGACTTCATAGAAAAAAGCAAAATACCTCAGTAATAACTTATATTTACTGCATGTTTATATAATATTTTTGAATGAATTAGGCGAACTGAAATTAATTTCACCTATCTTACTATATTTACCGTGGCTATTGGAAAATTTATAGTTAGGCATGTGGCTTACCATTGGATGGTGCTGTAACAGACTGAAAACCTGTCTGGGGCACTAAAATGTAATTGTCTGGCCGGGTAACTTCTATATTAATAGTGGAAAAGGGGGACTCCCCACCCTCCTGGCTTCCTGGCCTCGGAACTGAAGGCTATAAGGGAGCTTTATGTGGGTGCTGCCAACTGCCCAGCCCAGTGGTCTCCACTGGATGCTCCCACCTGTTACAAGCCAGAACTTTGAGTAATTAAAATATTGTGCAATTGGCAGAACTTCCTGGAGGCGGCAAACAGCATATTTTCCCATAACCAGTCCGAGTTCGTGCTATCTTGTTTTTTCTCTATGATCAACATTATGGCTAACCCGGACCTCCCAACAACTCAACACACATCACACACACACACACACACACACACACACTCACACACACACACACACCTTGGCTAGAAAGGTGGCGTGGGAGGAGAGTTTCTGTCACAGGGGAGGTGAGAGGCATTGGAGACGGCTGTTAAAACCCTCCGAGTGGGTAATTATCACGTGGCCAGTGGAGCAGGAGAGCAGAGGCAATAAATAACAGCCCTATGGGGGAACAGAGGGGGAGCAGGGGCAGGAAAGGGCTTGCCCTGGATCCTAAGGGGCCACATCTGCTCAGAATCTCCACTTGGTGATCACGTCATCCACATGCACTCAAGAATCAATATTCACTACCACTGATGGCTGCATTCACAGAAGCCCACTTGCTAAGAGCCAAGCCCCAAAGCTGGGGGATCACGCATCCCCACTTCCCTGAATCCCTCACAGGTAGATACTGTACCATCTGACCGTGAGGCAACGGAGGCCCAGAGATCTCCAGAAACTTGCCTAGGATCACACAGCTATTGCAGGGGTTCCTCGGGGCAGAGAGAGACCAAATCCCAGTTGAGTATGGCCCTAATCCTGAGCTCCTCCACGTGCCAGGACAACCTGAGTGGTGAGGAAGGGGCCCTTCTCCCACCACAGCACTACAGAGCAGAGACAGCATATAAATATCATTAGACTAGGCCCCGGCTCGCTCCTCTTTACAATGTGAAATGCCCCTTAGAGTTTCCTGTCATTTATCTGCATGAAGTCAGTCCTGCGACCTGTTGATTAAAGACCAAAATGAAAAAACATCTTCACTGTTGCCAGTTACCCATCCAGGGCGCAACAGGACAGCTCTTTTTCTCCGTCCCCTTTGCAGCCGGTTGCTGACTTTATTCTACGCTTTCTGGCTTCCCAGGGATGGTCAGAGAATGAATGTGGAAGGAGACAGAAAAGCTTCGCCTGGTTTTGCTGGACAAACACCAGGAGTAAAGGCCGGCGACCCCTCCCACACAAAGAGCTGTAATTACTAGCCACAGAATAGAATTCTCTTATTGTCCAGCTTTGAATTTGTTTTGTAAAAAACACGCAGAATCAAAGTGCTCTACCCATGGTTTCAGGCAGACACACAACTCATCAAATTTTAGCTCACTTATTCTATTCAACAGCACTTGTCAAGGTGGGAGACAGGCCAAGTTCCTCACATAAACCGCTTTCAAATCTGGATCCTTTTGGTGTTGCTTTTGAACCAAAAAAAGGAGAAAATGCCAGAAATATAAGGGCTGAGAAGGGTTAAATTTTAAAACAAGAAGAACTTGCCAGACAACTGTACCCTTATTAGAACAAGTGATCGTTTATGTGAGATTAGGTTTATATTTAGGTGAACTTGAAAAACAAAAACAAACCTGAAATGCACTTTGGAAGCTTGGTCTGCTTTTCCCTTTGAAAGTTATCAATTTAAAGAGAGGAATGACTAATCCCAGAAATGAGTGTTCCCATACTTCCCCGCAGGACGCACGGGGCTAACATTTACTCTACTGGGATATTACTCAGAATTTTAATAAACCTTAACTTGGAGATTTATCTCCCTGATTGGCGGTGGTGTGGGCAGGTAGATAGCACACAGGCGCTTCCATTGTCCGGAACCAACATCATCTCTTACTGGCGAATTAAAATAAATTACCCCCATCTCCAAAGGAGACTGCTCACTTCTCTACTTTCTAAATAAATAGCCCGTCAACTACTATTTTAGGCTACCCTGAAATTGAATACAGGCAAATAGAAAAAAGTCTCCTGTGCTTAAAAAAATAAAACCCACACACGCTCACTGTTAGCCCTTCATTCAAAATGCTTTAAGAATGGGAAAAATGAAGGCAGCCCTGCGCACCCACGTCTCCCTTTCCGACAGGCTCCCCATGTTCGCCTCGCAGGACCGAGGGGCCCCCGATCCAGAAGTCCCGGGGCCCCGCGGGGGCTCGCCGAGCGGCGGCCCCACCTGCCAGCGCCTCCCTCCGCCCGCCGCCCCGGCCGGGCCCAGGACGGGGCCGAGCAGGTGACCGGAGGCCCCGCGCTCGACGCGCGTCTGGGGAGCCGCCGCCTCTCAGGTGTCCTAGCCGCCGGGCGCCCCGCATCCCCCCGGGCCCGGCGCGCTCCAGTAAGTCACCCGCGAACAGGGGCGCGCGGGGCGCCCTCGGACCCCTGTCCTGCGTCCCCCAGCCCCCGCGCGAAATCAGGCCCGCAGGGCGACCACCGGCAGGAGCCCCCACCAGGCCCGCGTTTCCTTTTAAAAACAAAAGCAAGTGGAACAAGCCGGCGCGCCCCGCCCGCCCCGTCCGGCTTGGCGACCTCGGGCCGCGGCCCAAGTTCGCGGGGCCCGGGTCGGCTCCGCGCGTCACGCCGGGCCCAGCGCGCCCTATCCCGGGCCACCCGAACGCGGGCGCCGAGCGGAACGGAGTCCGGACGCGCGACTCCCCATTGCGAGGAGCAGCCGCCACCCCACCTTGACCCCGGCTGCACCCCGATCCCGGACCTCGGTGCTACCCACCTCCCCCGCCCGGTTTCTGGGTCCCCGGGAGAAGCCGGCGGGCACCCCGGCCGGCTCGCCCGCCCCGGACCCCGTTCTTACCGCGCCGCGTCGGGCAGGGCCGGCGGCTGCTCCGGGGCCAGGCTCCTCCGGTCGCGCCGGGCGAGGGCGAGGAGCCGGGGGCGAGCGCGAGCCCGGGGGTGCAGGCGCTCCGGGAGGCCGAGAAGCGGGCCGGGGGCGGCGGGCGGCGGGCGGCGGGCGGCGGGCGGGCGGCGGGCGGGCGGGCGGCTGGCTCCGGGCGCTCGGGGCTGGGGCTACGCTGCGCTCCGCTCCGCCGCAGGAGGAAGTAACCGGCCGGTCCCCTTCGCGGCGGGCTCTTCTGAGCTGGGGGAGGAGGGAGGAGGGAGGAGGGCGGCGAGACGACAGAGGGGAGGGAGGAGGGGCGGAGGGGGAGGGGAAAAAGAGAGGGGAGGGGAGGAGAGAAGAGGGGAGGCAGAGCGCAGAGGAGGAGGGGAGGGGAGCGCAGGGAGGGAAGGGGGGTGGAGGAGGGGAGGGGAGGAGAGCAGGGGGCGGAGCCGGCTCCTTCCGGCCGGGACCTAGCTCCGCACCCGCTGTCACACGCCTCTGTCCCTGGCCTGCTGTTCCAGGAGCGCGGTGCGCGGGGGCCTCGGAGGCCGGGAGCCCCATGCGAGAGCGAGGGCCCCCGGAGGGCAGGCGGAGTCGCTCCTGCGAGCATTCGCTTTCCGCCCCTTGTCCTGAGGCTTTAACACCAGACGTACCTCTCGGATTCGGCGGGAACCGAGTGGTGGTGCAGGTGGCCCCGAGTGGCCGCAGGGCTTGGGTAATAAGGGGCTCTTTCTGACCCCATTCTTGGGCTGCCTCATGGGTTTAGGATTCCTGATCGTTCTGTCATGAAAGGCTCTAAATAAGATGATAAATGTACGAACTGGGCCCTTTGCTGGGTCACTGAGTCAGCCCTGCTCCGGGAAGCCCCGTTCCTACAGCCTCCGTGTGCGTGGCGCCCCCTAGAGTTGAGCGGTGCCTGAATAGTAACCAGCCTTGACTGAGCCACTCTGGGCTGATCTTGGTGATAATTCTCCCTTTAAATATGAGGGAACTGAGCCTCAGGGTAAATAACTTGCTGGGTCATAAAACATGTAAATGGGAAATTGAGAGTTGAAACTCGATTTTATCTGGCTCCCAACCACGGTCAAAACCATCACCCACAGTGCGGGTTTCCGTTTTTAGCAGAAAACACTTGAGTGCATAGTTAGAAATGTGTGCATTTCATAGTCAGATTCAGGTTAGAGTCTCAGTATTTGGGAGGAAAATTTAGATTCCTGAAGGTGGCCATAAAATAAAATAGCTCCGCTTAGGCAAGGCCATGGGGCTGAAAGTTGGTGTCGCTCAGGGACTGCGGAGCTGCGAAGGGAGAGGAACCGCCTCACTTCCTTGTTACCAAGGTTCCCGGTTTCCATGACAACCCGAAATGCGGAATTATCCGGATAATTGAGAAAATGTTGCACCTTACTGTTTCTAGGTGCCAGAGGGTCTCCAGGTATCACCACTGTATGGGTCAGAGGCTGGGTCTACATGGCTAGAGCAATCAGGTGCCCTTGCAGGGAGGGACTCAATATTTCTTGGAGGCTGAATTGATTCTGATTGCTTCTCAGTGTCTCTTCAGGCCCGATCAGAAATCACAGATAGGTCAAGAAGGAGCTTCGCAAATGGAATACAGATCCATAGTAAGTTACCATGGAGACATGAAGAGTATGCTGCTTTTTTTTTTAAACCGTATTGGAAAATACTGACTCATCTGGCCTGTAGTTTCAGCTAATAGAGGGTCTTTTTTCTCACGCTACTCACACAGCCCTGGATCGTGTCTGAGAAGCTTGGTGCCCACAGCCATTCAGTCAAGTTCAGTTGGCCAAAGTGGGACTCCCTTGTCCATAGCACCTGCTCCAGCACCCATGGGTGTGCAGTGTGGGATGCTCAGGGGCTCCCTGAGTCATTGGGGTCCACTGGGATGGCATCTTTCCTCCTTGAGGGGCTGGTGGAGGCTGGGAGTTGAGAGGGGCGTGTTGCTCATGCTGAGCCATTTCCAACGTGTCTGAGCAGAAGGAGGTCAAAAGAAGGGAGCACAGGAGTTTGGAGACGGTCCATTCCTCGCAATCAGTTTTTCTTCTGCTGTAACTCCTTAGACCTTGGGCCAGTTCTCTCCGTACAAGAAAAGCTGACTATGGAACCTAGGTTATAAGGCTATGATGAGCATCAACACAGAATAAAAATGTAGAGGATTTATCAGAGTGTTGAGCATGTGGTAGAAAGGCTCAGAATGATAGAACGGTCAAGGTTTTTTTTCAAGTTTCCCTCTGGAAGCATTTTATGAAAAACCTTTGAAAAAAATACATACATAAAAAAAAAAAAAAGAGTCATCTCTATCCTCTCAGATGGAAATGTGTGAAAGCCTATTGAAAATGATCTGGCCCAAAGGGCAAATGGCAGAGCTGAAAGATGGCTGGGGGAGGAAGCTGGGGTCACACACCAGCCTGGACTCATCTCCTGCCCAGGCCCCTGTCGCTCCCTGCTTCCACTGCGGAAGAGACCAGGGCGCATCCGTAGCCCCCTGATGGCCTGCTGTGTTTGGGTGGTCCCATGCTCATAGTAAAGTGGCTTATCCCAGTTCTGGGGTGATGTCAGGGCTCCTAACATTTTTAGTCTTCCTGTTATTACTCAGTTTCCTAGTTGCTCAGCAGAACTAAAACCTGGCCTGGCTGCAGCCTGTGATTATTCATTGACTATTATGGCTGGATTCACAGGGACACGGAGCTTCACAGTAAATTAAACCTAATAAAAGTACCGCCCTGTGCTTCAAGATCAAAAGTCGAAGGTATTAGAAGGAAATTAAAAGTCAGAAGGCATGCAGGGGGGAAGTGATCGGATGCACTGTGTCAAGCTGAGTTTAAGAACAGTCTCTTTGTCTTTAAGAAAGGGAGAAGCTCACAGAGGAGGAAAGAGGGCATTGCACTAGAATGTGTGCATTAAATATACTCAATGTCTAGAGAGTAAAATGCCGATAAAGAGTTTTTTAGAACCCAGACGTAATTATTAAGAATGATTAGCTTATCAAGTCATTCCTGTAAAAGAAAACACAACGGCAAAAGCGTTTCCTTAGAAACATGTCTGCATTTACCTTGAAGTCTAAATCCAGAGACAACATACAGTTGAGGTGGTTTCTAGTTGCAAGTGAAACAGAGGTCATTTGATCTGAGGAATATCATTTATTCACTCGGCAAACACAGCGTCAAGCTGCTGAGAAGACCAAGATGAGTAAGGCTTAGTCCTTGCTGTTGAAGGAATAAAAATGTAGTGCATGGTCCTGTAAAAATCACACGCAAATGTGAGACTTTGGAAATCCTGGAGGTGGGAGACGAGGGGGGAGAAAATATACATAGAGATAGAAATAATTTAATTCACGCATATTTGCACCTGTGTTTCCTTTGCTGACCATTCAGCCTTGCAGTCGCTAGGTGGTGTCTGGCAAGTGGCAGTTATTCCACTGATACACGTTGGGGTGAAGGCATGGATACAGTCAAGCTTTATAACCCCCCACGACCCCTCACCTCCACATATACATATAACATGTATCCTATCCAGCCGGCCCTCCAGTCTCGCCCATTTGCCAGCTGGCACAGCTACCAGGAATCCCAGGCAGACCTAGGGTTATCTAGCAGCCTCCCAGCCTCCCAACAGGGTGGTCCCAAACTCTGCAAGAGCCGGCAGTGTCTATCTTCTTCTTTAAGATTCCCCGGCACAGAACTATCCTAGAGGTCAAAATATATTCCTGATGTCCCAGTGTAATTTCTTCTGCTTGTTGGCAGCCTCGTTTGGCCCTTGGGTTCCCTGTGGGCAGGAAGGCATCATAACTAGATGGAGCCTGTGAACTTAACCTCTGAAGGGCGGCCTGTGGGGTCAGACTCCCTGGGGTCAAATCGCAGCTCAGCCTTTTCTCTAGCTGTCCAGCTGTGGGCCCAGCGCAAGTTCCTGAGCCTCTCTAGGTTTCCATCCTTCCCATGTCAAGTTTGCATAATAGCAGTGCTTTTCTCCAAGGCCGGCCTGTGGGTTAAATGAGTTCACGTTTCTTAAGCACTTAGAACAATGCCGGACACATAATTAAGTCTGAGTGTGTGAGAAATAGGCAGCGGACCCCTGACCCTGGGAGAGCCATCTCTGATCACTGCCTTATTCTACACTCTGAGCAGGCTTTTGGTTCACACTAAGATCAAGGCCAAGGTCATCAAGAGGAGCCCACACTTTCTTTCGCTATAATTCTCTTGCCTTTGGTAGTAAGAGATCAGGGAATGAAGCACTGAATTTTAAAATTTGAAAAAAACTGTAGAGAGTTGATAAGTGAAACCAACTCCTGTTTTTATAAGGGAAGTGAGGCCCAAGGAGGATCAATTTTTTTGCCCACGGTCATATGGCTATTTCCTGGCCGGGCTGGGGCCACCGTCCAGGCCTCCTGCGCTGACTGCCTCCCTGACGGAGTCATTTTCCCTTATAAGGCAGAATTCTTGGACTGTGTAAACCACCCTCAAAATCCACCATAATATTAAACTGCATGATGACACGCTCTAGGCAAGTCTGAACAACAAAAATACTAAGAGGGACCCGTTGTATGCTGTAGAATTGATAATCCCTAAATAAGTGTGTCTGAAGCGTGAGTCAGACTCGTACAGATAGATGATTTTGTAGCTGTGTGTGTTTCTTCTGAATCACGGAATGATTCCCACAGTGTGCACTGAACTGAATAACGCTCCGAGTATCAACCTCATTATTTATCTTGCAAACTGGAAAACCAAACCCCGAGATGTCACCCATATGAAGAGTTAGTCATGATTGTGCCAGTCAGCCTAGCAAATGATTAAGTAAGGTTAATTTGAATGCCGCTTTTGGTGACAAAATAGAACCTCAATTAACGTTTTAAGGCTGAATAACGCAACAGATTTAAGCAGGCTGGAGAATTAATCACAAAGACTTCGAAGTATTTGTGTTACATCCATTCTTTGGAGGAATGGCTTTCCAATTGCTGCAAGGTTTGTTTTCCGCACTTCTTTACATTTATGAATTTCAGTGTCTGTGTCTATTTCAGACCCGCAGAGCTGTCAGTGCCTCTTGTTTATAATTGTTCTGTGCTCTAGGTTGGTGCTTTCTTTACCTCCAAATGCCAAACATTGCTCCTTTGGAAACGCCTCT